AGCGCGCAGGAAAGACAGAGAGAGACAGAGAGATAGAAAGTTGGAAATCACTCCCCAGGAGGGATGGCCATGCCACAATTCCTTTTCCTCCATTTTCCTCTTAGGATTTTGAGCACACATGTGCATGCACCTGGCATGGGTTTCAACCCACCGGATCTGGGACTCAAACTGTGAGCATGTGGGAGTCCAGTACTTTAAACACCTGCTGGGCCCCTACAGGAAAAGTTTTAAAAATTATCTAATTTTTTAAAAAGGTGTTTTCTTTGCTATAGGGCACATGCGTTCGCCAGAAAGACAGAGACAGAAAGCGAGAAATCACCCCCCAGGGGGGATGGTCACATCGTAATCCCTTCTCCATTCTCCTCTTGGGATCCTGGGCACGCACGCACATGCAGCTGGCGTGAGTTTAAGACACCAGGTCCGGAACTTGAACCGTGGTCGACTACATGGGAGTCCAGCGACATAGCCATTACGCTAACTGCTGGTCCCTTATTTATTTATTTTTTAATTTTCAGAGTGTACATGAGCTTTTCAGAGAGAGAGGAAGAGGGAGAAAGCAGTCCCCAGTGGGGCATGGTCACACTCTATCTCCTTCCCCATTTCCCCACCCTGCTGAGAGCTTGGGTATGCACACACGTGCACCCAGTGTGTTTTTCAAGCCAGGCATGATGAGACTTCAGCCTCATGGCTAGCCATGTAGGATCTGGATGGCTTACTCACTAACCTAAGAACTGGCCCTTAAGTTCCCTTTAACTATCACAATCGGTGACATAACAATGACTCTAGTGTAACAATAATCTGTTCTTAGTCTCAACGTTGTTTAGGATTTTGGTAGAAAAAGAGAAATAAAAAGTAATTCAGAGTAGGACATCATCATTTGTTGCAGGTGGTACTGTATTCAAAATTTGACCTCACTTTGAAAGAAGGGGAATGGTGAACCAAAGACATTTAGTGGACCAGTGAGTGAGTATAACCTTGGCATCAAATTAAGTTTTTCCTTTTCCTCACTGCCTGAGGGGATCTTTCTTCAAATTCTGTTTCGATTAGAGTACTGCCAGGGGAGGAACATAGTACCATTTGGCATCTTACTGCCTGTACCAGTTTGTGTTCTTCCATCTCTGTTATCCCGCTCTGGAGATTTAACCATGTCTTTACCCTCAACGAGATTTCTCAAATTTCGTTTCTGTTAAGTCCTAAAATAGAAATACTTGGAAAGTGCCCGAAGAAAAGAATGAGGACAAAAAAATATTTTAAAAATAAGCTTATATATTTAATCAAAATGGACTCTTTGGAATACCTACACACATAAAATAGACAATACTACATCTCTTACGTACATACAATCTTTTTCCAAAGAACATGAAAGCTCTAGGATTTAATACATTTTTTAAGAATGCAAGCCTATCGGTTTTCTCATACCTATGCAAGTAAATAATCTTACATTTTAGCATTGCTTTCTCTGAAATAAATATTTTCAGAGCTTTGGGGCACATCTGATATGTGAATCACAAATTCTTGTCCATCTTTTAGAGTTACGAGGGCCTCTTGTCCCATAGGAAGGCTGAATGTGATAGCACTTTCGGTGGCCCTGTCTTCCAGCAATACCTGGATGACCTTCGAGGAGGGAAATATTTAAAAGGAAAAAAAAAAGAGAGAGAAAGTCAGAGTGTTCCATGCTGCAGAAACCACCATTTGAATTCTACTGCGCCCTTGCCCCAAGCCTGGGACCTAATTTTGTACATTTATTCTGCTGGAAGAGATCCAAATTTCTCAAGGAAATGCTTGAGGTCTGCTGAGGGCTCCATGGGACTCACTCTCTGAGGATACTGCAGAAGAAATGGCATGGGGAGTGGGAACAGGTGGGCTCTCTTTAGGAAAAAAAGTGGGTCCTGCAGTTTGTAAGAAGCACACTCCAGCCTTGTGAGCGCAGACCCACACTCATCCTTTCTGGACAGGAGAGAGTGTAGACCACTGTGGATGCAGGGGAGCCTGTGGAAGGCACCAGGGTCTCTGGGCCTCTTGAGCTCCTACTTCCTGCCCTCTGGATGGACTCTAATCCCAGTGTTCTCTAATCCCATCTCAGGAGCCGATGCCATCAGCTCACTTCCCACACCTGTTGTCCAATCCGAGGGGATGTCGAAAGTTTGTGGGAAATGCAACGTAAGTATGGGTTTATTTTGGTGCAACATTTTTTTCTAACTTTTTAAAAGTTTTATTTCTTTTTGCCAGAGGACATATGCACTTCTCAGAGAGAGACAGAGAGAAGGGGCGAAAGCACCCCACAACGGAGTGTGATTACACCACAATCCCTTCTCTAGTTCTCCACCCTGCTGGGACTTAGGGGCAGGCATGTGTGCCTGGTATGTTTTTCAACTTGCCGGGTCAGGATCTGAACAGTAATTGGCCACAAGGGACCCAGTTTTCTTTCTTTCTTTTTTTTTTTCATTTTTTTTTATTGCTTTATACTTTTATATATTTCAAATTGTAAAGTTCTTCATAATATTTGGGTCACAGGTGATAGTCTATAACCTATGTTCTTTTTTTTTTAAATTACCTTTTTCCCTTTTCTTTATTTACAGTCATTCACTATACATCAATACAGTATACAAAATGAGTTTTTCCATCCAGAATACATTGTATATTGGCTCAGTCAAGGATATTACAACACATGTTACCAACAAATAATTTTCTATTTCTTGTTTCTTAAATATTTTGCCTTCCCCCCAACCCTTGATTCTCTACCTCTCACCCTCTGCCAATTCTCCCCCGAACACACACACTGTCTCTGGTAAGTATGGTTGTTTTCCATGCCTTTTTTGTTCACATTTTACTGACTCACTAAAGATCTTAATTAATTTTAAAACTTTCAATAGCAAGTACAGCTGATATATTCATATTTATGAATGCATGTCTGACTTTAGGCATAAACCTCAGTGAGTAAAGTGAACATACTATAAAGTAGCACCTCGCAGGGGCTACATAGCTTACTGCAGTCATTAAATAGGTGTTAACAGGTATTTTTTAATTTTTTTTTTTTTGGAGAGGTTTTTGCTATAGGTTTTTGCCGGGTGCGTGCGCTTGCCAGACAGACAGAGAGAGACAGAGAGACAGAAAGCGAGAAATCACCCCCCAGGGGGGATGGTCACACCACAATCCCTTCTCCTCCATTCTCCTCTCGGGATCTTGGCTCGTACGCACACACGCCCGGCGTGAGTTTTAAGCCACCGGGTCCGGGACGCGAACCGCGGTCAACTACATGGGAGTCCAGCAAGATAGCCATTACGCTAACTGCTGGTTCCCTAAATTTTTTTTTATTTTAAGAAAAAAACATTTTTAGTTTTAATAGATCAAAATCAAAAAATGTTAAGAGAAATTTGCTTAAAACTTAAAGCCAGGAAAAAGCTTAGGATTTAGTTCAAATAGTAGGTAGGTGAACCTATTAACAGTTCAAGAAAAGACAAAAATCTTTAAATATGGAAATCAAAGCATCAAAGAAAATCAGAAATGTTTTAGTCTAGTGTCAAAAAATTCTATTTTAGGGAACCAACAGTTAGCGTAATGGCTATGTCGCTGGACTCCCACGTAGTCGACCGCGGTTCGTGTCCTGGACCCAGTGGCTTAAAACTCACGCCGGGCGCGTGTGCGTGCGTGCCCAGGATCCCGAGAGGAGAATGGAGGAGAAGGGATTGCGGCGTGACCATCCCCCCTGGGGGGTGATTTCTCGCTTTCTGTCTCTATGTCTCTCTCTGTCTGTCTGGCGAGCGCACGTGCCCTACAGTGAAAATCTCTCCAAAAAAAAAAAAAAAAATTCTATTTTACTAGTTCAGACTCAAGTAATTAATCTCTCTTCTATTGAATTTGCAGTGTTTCCGTGGTCTGATTTTTCCACTCTGGAAGTTAACATTCAACTCTGGACTTGTCCCTACCATTAGGCTGGCCATTCTCTTGGTTGTTTCTTGTACTCTGATTTCTGTGTGTCCGACTTTAGTTTTCCTGGTAGAGCACTCCCTTCAGCACTTCTTGGAGAGCTGGTCTGGTGTTGGTAAATTCTTTCAGGTTTTATGTATCTGAGAATGTTTTTGTCTTTTTTTTCCCCATATGAAGGATAATCATGCTGGGTATAGTATTCTTGGTTGAAATTGTTTTTCACTTAACACTTTGAATGTATTTTCCCATTCTTTCCTTGTCTATTGTTTCTGATGAGAGGTCTTATGGGATATCCTTTGAAAGTAACTTAACAGTAGTCAGTAGTATACTCTTGCCAGTAGTATCTTGTCTCTGTCTGTGATTTTGGTCAATCTGGCTATGATGTGCCTGGGGGAAGATCTTGGGTTGATTCCATGTGGGGTCCTTCATATTTCTTGGGTATTTGAGTGCCTCTCTAGGTTTGGAAAGTTTTCTTTCAGGATTTCATGGAATAGACTATCTTATTAGTTTTTTTACCTTCTGGGATACCAATGATCCAAATGTTTGGGCATTTCATGGTATCTAGTATTACTTGTATGCTAGTCTCATTTTGGGGGGTTATTTCCTCAGTCTTTTTGGTGAATTTTTCTAGGTCAGAGGTTCTATCATCACATCTGAGATTCACTGTTCTGCATGATCTAACCTGCTTTTGATGTTTTCAAGGGAAGTTTTGATTTCTCGTATTGGAGCCTTCATTTCTAACAATTCCATTTGATTCTTTTTTACAATATATATCTCCTCTTTCAGCTCAATGAAGAACTTCCTCACCTCCTGGAACTCAATGTCTCTTTTCTCCTGCTTCTTCTGGAGTTCATTGTCTCTCTTCTCCTGCCTCTCTGTTAGTTTTGGCACTATAAATATTTTAAAATTTTCTATCTGACATTTCCATGGGTTCCCTTGTATTCTCTGGCTCATGGCTAGATCTGGGACGCAGGAGGATGAAGTGTGGGCAGAGGGTCTTTGGTGGTCGTAATCTGGGTTCCAGTTTTCTATATGCAGGACCTAATTGTTGCACTGCAGGGCCAGCTCTAATGCAAAATGTTTTTCAGTTGCTATTTAGGTGTTTTTTTGTTTTTAAGAGAGATTTTTGCTGTAGGGTGTGTGCACTCACCAGAGAGATAGAGACACATAGGCAGAAAACAAGAACTCAGCACTGGGGGTGGAGGCAGGGGATGGAGTTGGCCACTCTGCAATCTCTCCTGGCCTGAATTTTCAACTGGGACTAGAACTCTACTCAACTGCATGGGAGTCCAGCAACGTAACCATTGTGCTATCTGCTGGTCCCTGTTTGTTTTATAATGGTCCCTTTCCATGAATTTTTTCGAGACCCCTTTGTCTACCATTTGTTGGGGGAAACCTGTGAAAGCCATCATCTGCTATTGGTTGGATTGCCACGTGACTGAGGGAGCAACAGATCTGAGAGATTCACAGGTTCTGCTTTAGCTTCAGCTCTCACCAGCTTACCCTGCCTGTCTTCCCATCAGAGAAACTGATACTCTGCCAGTCACCCCTTAGCTCCAGGGAACCTGAACTCCTTTCAAATCCTTGGTCACTGGTTGATTTAAAACCAATAGAAATGTAATATACTAGGTGTGTGCCCCAAATCCTAGGAGAACGGAGGAGAAGGGATTGTGGAGTGGTAGGGTGATTTCTCACTTTCCTTCTCACTTTTTCTCTCTGTCTCTCATGAGTGGACAAGCCCTATGGCAAAGGCCCTAAAAACAAATGAAAACGAACAAACAAAAAACAACCCTCCCCCTAAACCAATGAAACGCACCTTCTTGGTTTAATTTTATCAATACATTCCCTATAAACTGATATATTTTGACAAAGATGCTCACTTTTTTTTCAAGAGATTTTTGCTATAGTGCACACGTACTTGCCGGAGAGACAGAGACAGAAAGGGAGAAATCACCCCCTGGGGGGACGGACACCACATAATCTCTTCTCTGTTCTCCTCTCGGAGACAAAGATGTGCACTTTGAATGCAAGGTTCATGAAACAACGTTTCTTACTCGCTCTCTAAATTCAGCAATGATCATCACCACCCAGTGAAAAGATACTTTTCTTCTTTTTCAAAAAATTGTCTTTACCTTCACCCTAGAGCCGAAGAGTTGCTTAACTTTCAAAATATTTTTGCTCTGCTCTAATCTATGAGGGTATGGCCTAAAGTAAAAGCAGTGTCATTTGTTCTTGAAAAATAATACTCTTTATTGAATATCACTGCCACTGTGACTTCATTCTCAAACGGGCCTTGGCATCTTACTTTTTTTTTTTTTTTGAGAGAGATTTTTGCTGTAGGGCATGTACGCTCACCAGAAAGACAGAGAGAGAAAGAGAGACAAAAAGGGAGAAATCCCCCTGCCGGGGGGATGGCCATACCGCAATCCCTTCTCCTCCATTCTCCTCTCGGGATCTTGGGCATGCATGCACACGTGCCCGGCGTGAGTTTAAGCCACTGGGTTCAGGAATCGAACTGCAGTTCACTGCATGGGAGTCCAGCGACATAGCCATTATGCCAACTGCTGGTCCGGGCATCTTACTATTTTAACATCCCAGGAATGTAGAAGAGTGATAGATAGAGCAATTCCAAATACTGACTTGAGTAATCGTTGTAGGTGTGGGCAGTGCTAAATTGCTCATGACTGAATCCCACGGATGTGCAGCTGAATGGATGTTAACTCAGGGCAGATGAGAAAGATGGGACAGGAAGAGGGACAGGAAAGAAGGTGGGAAGAGCACCCTCTCTGCATTCCATCTGTAACTAACCTGAGGTTATCTCACGGATAATTAGGAGAGCAGGGGTTCGTGCCCTAACTGATCTCCTTCTAAGACTGACCCCTTCTCAATGTCCTCTCTCTCCAGAAAATATTCTAGCATATGCTTTCGTTCCAAAACTGGTGGTTTGAAAGTATATTATAAATGTCTTCAGTTGGCTAGCCACAGTGGGCCTGTGCTCTGAAAACTGATACCATGTGGAAAGGTCCCAGGACACAGAGAGGGTGCTCTTCTTGTTCTGAATAATGGAAATGCAAGGAAAATCAGAAAAGGTAACTTTCTGGTCTTCCATTGTTTAAGTCATAATAACGATGCAGCAGGCATGAACCACAAAAGCAGGCTTAATTAATCTCTGATGCATACTATGGGGCCGGCAGGTGGTGTGGTGGTTGGGAGCTTTGGACTTCTGCATGGCC